TGGATTCATAATATCAATGTTTTGGAAAACACACTGTTTCTGAACAACTGTGTTTTTTTAAGAAGCTGGGACATGAGCCAGCTGCAAGTGGATGCTGAGATTATTCAGAGACTTATGGCAAACAGGGATGATCAGTCAGAGTCAGATCCTGAATGAAGAGGGGCTCTGTCAGATATTTGGCTCCGAATGCTTTTTTAATGGCAGAATGTGATACCAGGAGTAGTGGTACAAATGAAGAAAACAACCTCAGCAAAGGGATGGAACAATTAAAATCTCTGCAGGAAAGGTACCATAAAAAGGACAACCAGGGAAGGTTAAATGAGTGGATGACAGCAAAACCAGGATGGTTGGTTAGAAAGTAGCTTTATTTGGGTAATAGTATTGCACTATTTTAATAGCTTCCAATTAGCTCAAGCTGAAAAATGTAACTACAAAACTTTAAAGAAACATACCAGGAAAAATACATTATAGGGCATTTAGGACTACTCAGACTGTCTAAATTTGGTCTTATGAATTAGGTAACTAAATTAGAGGGATAGTTTTCTTATTTTATTAACCAAGAGAGAGAGAAAGGGAAGGGCTGAAAGAAGGAAGCTCCTTAAACAAGAATTCAAAATCCAGTTTAAATGTCACAGTTCTCCTAGAAAGGAATTCTTCTGTGTCTTCACTCTGTTTACAAGTACAACAGGCAGGCTAAAACTAGTCCATGACACAACAACATAGATTTGATAAGAAGAAATTATTTTGTCCAGAAGAGCAGCTGTAGAGAATAGACAATGCTCAGATAATGCAGTTCTGATAAAAGAAGCTTGAAGCAGAAAGACATGTGGAGGTCAAATGAGTCTGCAAAAAAACAGCACATGCTGTGGTAAATAACACAAGCTGAGCTTGGCTTGTTAGTCATAACATAAGACAGAGGAATTTCAGTGAATGTATCACTGCAACAAAAATTTGCTGGTACTAGCAGAGCATGCTGGTGTAAATACAGTGAAACAGCACCAAAACCAGCACCTTCAGTTCTGAAAAAAAAATCACCACCATAGGAAAAGCCAATACCTGCAGCAGATGGAGATCTGACAGTAAATGGGATGCTTCTGTATCTCTTTTAATTGGACAAAGATGTACAAGGCAGTATGGTGCCCCAAAAAGTACTGGAGCAATGAAGAAAAAACTACAAACTATCAGCAGTTCAAAAAGCTACTTTAAGCCCCTACCTGTCTCCATGCAGCATGTTAATCTGCAGTAGTATTACACTCAGAGTATCCATTACTGAATTTAAAATTATTATAGAGTCATAGAATGATTTGGATTGAAAGGGACCCTAAAGGTCATTAAGTTCCAACACCCCTGTTGTGAGCAGGAACAATTTTCACTTCACCAGATTACTCAGAGCTCTATCCAACCTGCCCTTGAACACTTCCAGAGATGGGGCATCCACAGCTTCTCTGGGCAACCTGTGCCAGTGCCTCACCACCCTCACAGTAGGGGTTTTCTTTTCTGGTATCTAACCTAACAGCTCCCTGCTCTGGGCAACCTGTGCCAGTGCCTCACCACCCTCACAGTAGGGGTTTTCTTTTCTGGTATCTAACCTAACAGCTCCCCGTTTTCATTTTAAAGCCACTCCCCCTTGTCCTATCACTACCTGCTTTTGCAAATAATCTCTCTCCATCTTTCTCCTAGGCTACCTTTAGGTATTGGAAGGCCACAGGTAGGTCATGCCAGAGCCTTCTCTTTTCTACTTTTTTCTCAAATCAATAGATTTGAGCAAAAGTTGAGGGGAGAAGTTCAGGGGAATAGAACAACTGAGGAAGAAATTAAGGATATCTTCCACAGAAAAAGAAAGATCTCTGCAGAGCAGTGTGGAAAGGGTTGTGGCTGGGTCACAGTTTGTAACCCCAGCAAAAGCCTATGATGAAGCATATGCTAAAATAATGTCTGAAATAATTTTTCCTCAGGAAGTAATAGGAAAATAGAGGGAATAACTTTGCACATTTAAAGAAGAAATTAAGCACTCCATGGAAGTAATGCTTCACATAGCAAAAAATAAGCAAATATATAAAAGGGAAAACTTTTATATAAAACTGCTCCTGCTCTTTACACAGGAAGAAGTTCTAGATGAAATTATGTCAAACATTTTTCTCTTTTTTTTGTATCTGCAGGGTTCTGTCAAGTTCTGTTGGCAAAACAGAACACTTAAAGACAGAATAGTGTACACTTAAAGACCTGTTTTATAAGATGTTCCCCACACACTGCCACATCTGTTTTGTTTAGCATGAGGTGTTTCACCAGCAAGTGTCATGGTTTGTTTTTGATGTAGAGTAAGAATGTTTGCATAGAGGTTGGCTTTGATCTAAGAGAGACCATCTGAAAAGTCTCACATAAAAATCAGGGTAACAACAAGATTACTGGGCCAAAACTGAGCAAACACAAATATCAATCCATAATAATGGAATTTACATGCTATAATTAGCAAATGCCACAACATGTTTAGAAATTCCCTGAGGTACTGAAGATTCCCTGAAGTCTTCACTGGTCTTCACTGGTAATTATTTCCAACAGAGAAAGGGTGCAAGTTGTCACAGGAAAAGCTGTAGAAATCGTGCCTAATTCAGTTTGCCTGCACAAGCAATCTGAGGGTCGTGCTTTGCCAAGCAACCTGTACTGCAAGATGCCTGGAACAGAAAGTTTAAGGGAATTTATGACACTGAATTGTAGAGTCTGTCCCATGAGAAATAGCCATGGATAGTTCAAGAACATTGCAAACATACTCCTCTTACAATTGTATAGTCAAACCCAGAGGCTGATAACTTATTTGTCACCAGCAAAACCTGATAGACATGCATGAGTGAATCAACATGGAGCCTGTGGCCTCAGTTCCTGGAGATAAACAAACTCACAAAAAAAAAAAAACAAACAAACAAACCAGAAACAGAACACTGAGTTACCTACATAAATATGGTACATGTATCACTGTCTCTGCTGACTCCTAATCTAGTAACTTTTGAAACTGTGGACTAGTCTGAGCTAAGTCTGACAGAGAGACAGCTGTCTCAAAGACACCATATTATTATATAAGCTTTGCAAAACTGGATACCTGCACAAAGAAAACAAACAGTGTCTGTATCTTCAGTGAGGAAAGATTGCACCACAAATACAGTCCGTATTAGACACAGAGAAACCACAAGAAGAACATTATAAATGCTTCAGTGAAAGGAAAAGCTTCAGTGAGAGGCAGCAAGTTATGAAGCAGCTGGGAATCCAACCACAAGACAAATCCATAGGCTTCATTACTTTTGATGCTCATGGAAATAGCTGTTATTTATGGGAGGCCAGCACTCACTGAAACCTTCCTTTAATGACTTCCTGCCATAGCCAAAAGCAGCTTCACAAACAGATCATTTTTTTTTCACCTACCATAATATAATTTGCCAATAAAATAAAAAACTGGGAGTGGTTTGATATTAAAAATAAAAAACCAAACCAATACACCAAAACAAAATTACAACCTTTCAAACATCTAAGAAGGGATAGCAGGACAAGGTTGAGGGCTGTGTTACCTTCATGGTAACAGCTTAACAAGAGAACTGGGTTCTTACAAAATGTAGGTTTTGACTCACAGAGCTCCTGCTGAGAATGAGTTCCCACAACAGTAATTAAACTAATGCACAGGACAACATATTTCCAGCCACCAGCTAATTGGAAGACCTCAGTAATAAGAGCAATGCAATATTAAAAGACACAGGGTTAGTGAGTCTGAAGACACTGTGGGGAAAAAAAAACTTCTAAAAACTGTCTGGAGGTCATTTAGGGATTAAAAAATCTATGGGAAAAGATAGCTTCTTCTCTACTGGCCTTAAATGAACGTTGACATTAAAGTAGTTGTTAGATGTCTGTGAAAAATACAGAGCAAGTCAAGTGAAAGAGCCCATGTTGATGGCACATGAAAAATAGGTTTCCTCAAGCAAGAGATACACTCCTGTGCTCTTTCATGGGCATATCACTATACTTTTTTCATGGTTTGATTTAGTTTTCTCTTCAGTCAAAAATATTAATTAACATAAAGATGATCCTCTTTGTAAATAGAATTTCTGAATTTCTAAAACCTGCAGAAACAGAGAAATGGCATTCCCTGTGCTGAAAGTTAGAGTTTTTCACGTAGTCTTTCACAGCTACTGGTCTTTCTTTTCTTTCCATTTTTGTGAGAGCTACCAGGTGCAAACATAATATTTTAGCCAAGTGAGTCTGCAAACAGATGCTATGTAATGGATGTTGAACTAAATTTTGGAAATTGCAAAGAATTGTCATTTCTCAAAAACTTTTTTTTCTTGTTAGAAGAATTTGTGTACAACTAGAAGAGTGAGGGGAAATCATAAACCAGACATTTTCTCTGTAACCTTGGCCAACATAATTGGTGTTTACAGAGGACTGGCTCTGACTTTAACGACTTGCACATGACTCACACAGGCTACAACAAAACACATTGTACTTCTTTAGAGCAATAGAGTTTTCCTACAAATACTGCAATGGAAATTACTGTGTTTCTTACCAAGCTGTAGACACACAAAGCAGCCTCTGAGAAGAGGGATAATTTTTCTGACTTCTACTTTTGCTGCATATATTTTACACTAAACTCTACAATTTGCTTTTTGTTCACTTCACAGCTATGGTCAACTGCAAATCAACCATAAATTCAAGATACTTGCATACAGGATGCCCATTTTTGCACATGCAGTCTGTCTTCTGAGAACTGAGAAGGGTGTTTTTTATTTTGTTTGTAAAGTTAAAAGTACAGGGTTCTTGGGTTTCTCTTGAAGTCTGACCAATGTGACACTTGTGACATCAGAGCTTATCAGGATATTTTGCTTTCTACAGATAGACATCTTCACTCACCAAGCATGAAATCAAATTAAAAAGAAGTCAAATGCAGAAAAAAAAAGTCAGTCTCTTTTAAGTTTTTGATGATCCTGAATCAAGAATTGCTTTATTGCTCCACAATAGATACCTCCTGTACCAGAGAAGCATGGCAGTGCCCTTCAGCTGCAGATGTGGCTATGGGAGCATTTCGCATAAATTACTATGTATCCTTAAATATGTATGACATTTGTGACTTCTGTTGGGATTATTTATTATACTAGTTTAATCAAACAATTTATCAAATTATTTCTACCAACTGTTAGCAGTTTTGATATCTGCTGTAAAAGCAACCACAGCTAAGTTTGGGGTGGAGGTGGGGGTGTTCTATGAATAAAATATATTTCTTCATGAGCTTATTAAAAGCATTTGCAATAAGCAGCCTACCCAACCAGATCACAGCTTTGAGAAAATGATTACTGTTTTTCCTTGTGATTCAAGAATGCACTGAGCAAATGTCAGTTTTGGGGAGCTGATTCAATTCAAGGCAAACAATTTCATTCACAGTGAGTATCATGAGCTTTGCCTCTTGTCTAACAAGTTCCTGATCCTGCTAAAAACATGTCATATAACTGCGAGACAAATGTGTCAGCAAATCAATTGTCACACTTCATCTATTTCTTGAAACTGGCCATGTTTTCACTGAGTTCATTAAACAATTGGTATCACCCTTTGATACATTTGGAGTATACAGCTAGAACAACAATTACAGGGCAAAACAAGTAACCTCTCACGCTCAGTAATAATCAAGGTATATGTGCAACTATATACAAGTATACATACACCTGTCTATATAGCTTTAGCAGGAACTGATATTTTGTCTTTACCTCAATGACAAGTCACCTTTTTTCCTTTCTTTTATTTCTTTCCTCCCTTCCTCCCTTCACCCCCCACACATTAAGTGTGCTGTCTTTGGTATAAGTACACAGGCAAAAAAAGGTAATCTCTGAGTTTATTTCCCTTCAGGATTTGAAAAAAGCCATTATCTGCTCAGTACCTCATCACAGAAAAACACTATGTGCTGCCAGTGTGGCAGAATTCTGTGTCACTTGGATCTTCCCTTACTTGTAGAAGTGATAAGTACTGGATCTGTCAAGTGACAAAATCATTGGCTGTGACCTAAATTCTCCCTAAAACATGGTATGGAGAAAGAACCCACACACATAGCTTTAACTTCTCAATCCTACTCTGTCTTCAGTTGCTTGCTGTGACCTTTCTTAGAAAGGATAAGCTTATTCACAGAAGAGATAGTCGCCTCTGCAAAATGTTTGCTCCCATTTTATGAAAGAGTTGAAAGTTTCTGACTTTTCTTAATTTGCTCATTGTATTTCCACTTAACTGGAATTGCCACAACTTGGTATCTGTTCCTCTTCTACTCACAACAAATTCCACGCTGGCTTCAAGCCCTAAAAAGGAACTTCTGATATGCTGTTGGATTAGACTTCTGCTTTTGTTAAAAATAATGAGTAACACTTGAAAATTATGAAAGTATTAATCCCTCCAATTAGTTTGTGAACTCTTTACTGTGATCTTGAGAGCTGTAGACCCTAAACGGTATTCTAATTATGAAATGAGAACACTGAAGCTACTGAGATACTCTAGTTTGAAGAGATTATAAGAGAAAAAATGACTAACAGTGGTGAGTTATGTTGTTTCTAAGAGCAACCAGCTTTGCTTCTGTTTTGTTGGCAATCTTGTTGGCTGACATTTAGAACAAAATGTAATTGTTTTGACTGCAAATACTTGCAATTGAAAGATAATAGTCCACGAAAATGCCTTCCTGAAAAATATGCTTATAAAATTGTGCAATCAGAGTGCTTTTGTGCTCATGTGCCTTTGTTTCAGACATTCAATGGCTAAATACGGGGACATCAATTCCTAGAGACTGTATTTTTTGAGTAAATCAGTTGATTGCTATAAAATGCTATCTTCTCAAACAAGCACTTTTAATAATAACACTTGGGGTACACAATATTTAGCAGCAAACAGTGTTCCTCAGTGTGTATCAGAAGACAGATATATGATAGCCCGAGTATTTCTTATCCATCCTTTTTAGGCTATAAGCAAATTTTGTATTCAATTACTTAAAAGAATAGTTTGAACTAAACTTATACAAGGATATTAGGGCATAGACCAAAATAATATAATAAAATATTTTGAAGATTCTAAACATTTTAAAAAATTATTGCTAGGTTAAAAAAAATTCTTACATTTCTGTAAATTCTAAGTGAAATAAAAATATAAACTAAATTGATGTTGGTAACTATATTATTTTCTTTTCCTCAGAATTAGTATTTCAAACAAGGGGAATTTCAAGCAGGGGAATACCTACTGTTAAATTTTTGGCATAAAATAGACACTTCCCTTTCCGACTTTCATGAATGATTCATAGGTTAGTTTATTTTTTGTTTAAACTTGATGTGACACTTTTGATCTGCCCATGGATTCATGAAATCTGATAAGTAGCTCTAAAAACAGAAGGACAGATCATTATTACACAATAGCAGAATTAGAAATCACTCCTTTTGTCTAAACAAAATTCTGGAGGAATTCACCTCACATAATTCCAGTATTTCTGCAATCATATAACCAGTGTGATATCATATGAACTCTGCGTACTCTCAGAAGCCTAAATTTTCCAATCATAAAAGGAGAATTTAATTTCTTGGTTTTGTAATATAATACCACTGCTATTAATAATTTTATTAGCTTAAGCTACGTCAGTGTGGTAGAGTTAATGTTTCTGTAGAATGTCACACTAAGATTGTTTGATGATACAAAATGCAACAAGGAAAAGAAGAAAAAGAGGCAATGAGAGGACTTTTTTTGTAAACCATTTGAAATCATTGTAGTTTAGTTTGTCGAATAGTCACTGAATTTTCAAAGACACAAATTCAGAATTTTAAAAAATGTTACAATTAAAACCATTATTGCCATTACTATTCACTTTGCTTTTATATGTGGCCTATGTTTTTGATTGCCCAGACAGATACTTAGAAAGTGAAGATGGACCTGAGCTCAGCATGTGCAGGGTCTGTGAAAGGAGAAAAATGTACATGGATCAAAAATCAACGTCAAAATAAAAAATTTTTAAAAAGAGGTAAGAAAACCAGTAAAAGTAGAAGAATTGATTATGAGAGTTTACATTATTTTACTATTTTATATTATCCATTATGATATGCTTTATTATCAAGCTTTAATGACACTCTTAATTTTGTTTCAATTTTTCTGCCAGTGATGATATTTGGCATTTTCTTCAGACAAAAAACTGATTCATTTGCAGGAGAGAAACAATGGAAATTAGTACAAGCAAAGTTAGGTCAAATATGCCCAACTCAAATAAAAATAGAGAAATGTATTTTGTCAAGCCTCTTTGTTAGATGTTATTTCTAATAAAAGCACATTACAAAAGTTATATTGATTGATGGACAGAGTTAAAAGCAGAAGAGTTATACTAAAAGATTTATAAAATGAATGTTTGACAGGTCTGATATGGAAGAATAAAAAAGTCTTTTTAAAGGCGTTTTTATTATCATTATATTCTTTTCTACTTTGTGGAACTGACTATTATTATGACAATATAAAACCTTCTGAGATACATGTACATTTTTTTATATTGTGGTTATCAGTTATTTGACACATAGAAAAATAGCTATTAAACAAGTCTTTCTTCATATTTTAATCTGTTCAAATTCCAGCTCATTTTTCTGAATGTCTTGGCAGTTCTGAAGGTGGTGTGAGGAAGGGCAAACAGCTTTAATATATGAGCTTATAGTAGCAGTAGTAGGAACAAACGTTGGTGAGAATTTAATTTGTGAAAGCTTTGATTCCAGACCACAAGAGCACATTTTAACAACGTGAAAATAATCAATGATGACTCCATTTTACAAGCACTAAAGGAAGAAAAATGCTCAGAAATGGAATCAATGACCCAGAAAACAAGCTCAAATTCAAAGGTGATTTGATGTTTGGAGCTTCTGAAAAAGTGCAGACTGAGGAATTTCTTTCTGATAGCAATTATAAAATAATTAGTTATTAAACTGAGTTAATAGATTTCATGAGCAGCTGATATATGTCCCAACAAGAAGAACAGGATTTCTACAATAAGTGTGGTCTCCAACTGGGAAAGTTTTGGAGTATGAAATGCAATTCAAGATAAAGTTATTTATCTAATACAAAAAAGTCCCTGAATTACAAATCAGTGGAAGCTGGTAGAGGATTATGGGGAGTAAGAATAAGAATTTCTTCTTATACTCTTTGATACAACATGAGGTATTTGCATTGGGCACTTTGCAGCATATATACATCAATATGTACCTCTTATATGTTACACATGTAATTTACCACCGGACAAAATTCCCAAGAAACAGGATTCAGGGCTATGTGAATCCTTGGTCTGATCTGGCAGGATAGTTGTTATGTTTGTAAAATATCCTAGACCAGTTTTATCAAAACTCCTGGGGATGCCCACCAAATAATGCTTCATATAACAATCAGTTTATGGCCTGTTAGCTGCACAGAAAATCTCAGCACTTTATTCCTTATTCATTATTTTGGTAAAGGAGAAGCAGCGCTGTGGGAATGTTACTCACTGACACACTCTTTTTTCCGTAGAAGCCAATTATGCACCATGGGCAGTGTGGAGCAGAGGAATATTTTTCAAAAAGTTCAGGCAAAGGCATAATGTATGAGCAAACACTAAAAGAATATTTTAGGTAGGAAAAAAGAAAAGTTTGTGTGTTTATGGATGGGTCATGGTGTTTCCCCTAAGCAACCATCACTGTCAGAATAGCTTCTCAGTTTTATGCTTCTCTCCATGCTTCAGTCAGAAGATCATCATCCACGTGAGTGATGTGCATTTGCAACATGACCGGCAGTCTTGACAGTGACAAGAAGGAGGACAGACACTACTGTTGTGTTCATGCACAAAGCAATTTTACCCTGGGAGGAGACAGCAGAAGAGACTGACTACAATCATATGATCCTGCTCAGTTTCATTTCAAATCATCCTAAACTGCATTTGTGCTGACCTGGTCTGTGGTTACTCAGTTTGATACAGAATACAAAGAGACGGTCAGAAAATATAATGGGGGAAAAAAAAAAGGAAAGCAGGACTAAAATAGCAATGGCATGATATGTGCTTTCCCGTTCTTTTCTCTAAGGATTTGTGTTAGTGGAAAATACCTATTTCAGCAGCCTGACAGAGGCAGGACTGCTGCCACTCCACATCCCCAGCTCTAATCTGTAATGAGGCTGAACATGTATTCCCAGCTGACACACAGGGCACATGCATACAGCACAAAATACAAATATATACACTGCTGGCCATACAGATAATGTAAAGACACACAGACCACTCACACCAACACTGACAGCACCACCAGCCTCATCCTGCTGTCTGCTCTAGCTGGGGAGAACAGAGGTCCTTAAGTGGCAGCCTATATACACAGCTACAAGATGGTGCCTTCCAGCAGAAGACTTTGGTGTGTCCAGCAGCTGCTCCTGGATCCTGGTCTCCCCATTTACTGCCACCTGGATGTACAAGCTCTCAAAGCCACAGCCCCACTCCTGCTGCTGGTACAAACCCTCATCACACACATACACCCAGAGCTGTTGGGGAATTCTCTGGTCCCTATAGTCCCCTTCCTGTGCTCTTGCCCCTGGATGCCAGCAGCCACTCCCCACCCAGAGGTGGCCCTCAGACATCTCCAAACCCATCCCTGTCCCCAACCCACTCATCTGCATTACCTTTGCCAGCAATCACATCCACACTTGCACCAGCTCCTGCACCACAAACAACCTCATCTACCCCCTTACACACAAGAAATAAAGAGCCCCTTACTGGAAAGCAGCTGAATGTGCATTTACTGAAGAGAGAAAACAGATTGTGCTGGTCAGGAGCAGGGCACAGCTAGACAACTCTCCACACAGGTGAACCTCTTTATTACCTTGTTCCACACTTGTTAGTCACCCAATCTCTTAAACCCCTACTTTGTTCTGCTTTTGATTTCTCCTCTGAATACCTGTGATGAATTCCCAAAAGCTCTTGCCCTGCATCATGTTATGTGTCTCACACCTCCAGCTAGCATGTCCCCTTAGCAACCTGGAAAGCTGCTTCCCATCACACATAGATGGATTGATAGATTTCATACCTGGACACCAGTGCTGAGCCTCTTCTGGGCCAGCCCTGGGAGGGGACCAGAGAGGGTGTCCTTTCCCCTTAGTCCTTACTTTGCTTTCCTATCTTCCATTGCCACTGTGCTCCTTTGGGCTAGCAAAGATGGGCCTTTCACGACTCTCCTGTGGTGGCAATCAATCAATCTGTCAGTAGCCTAACAAACCATGTATTTAAATCTACTTAATATTTCTTTTTTAAGCCAAACAAAGTTAGACAACAACAAATAAGAACAGGTAAGCATAAACAAAGTACAAGAGTAGGGAAACAGAAATCCAGAATCTACATCATCATACTGCTTGTGATTGTCATATAAACTGGTGTGGAAGAGGTTTTACAGCGACTTCTGTGAGCCAGAGAGAAGTTTGATAAGAGGATCCATGTTTACCCTGAAAGAATTCTCTACCAAGGTCGTTGACATAGGAACCAAGAGAGAAAGAAGGATAAATAAGAGAAGCCTGCAACTGTCTATTGCAATAAGCACTTTGTTTGTCTTTCCTGACCAATGAGTAAAGTGTATACTCATGAGTTTTGTAAGAATCTATAAAAAGCATGCATGCTATAATAAAATGCTATAATAAAATCCTTCTGAAAATGGAGTGTTGCTTTGTATTATGACCATCTCAACTATGACAAACTGGGATTCCAATTAGAAATATTTTCTCATGCAGCCGTTCATTCTTTCTAGTACAAAAGACATCACACACCACCAGCACAGTAAGAAATCTGTTGTGCTTAGCTTTTCTAGAGAGGGGCAGGCCTCCTCTATGTAGTGCTACAGAAGCTGATCATTGTCTGGTTTATTGTCTTCCTCAGTCAGCAGAGCACACCTTTGGCACCAAGAGCTGAGGTAATGCAGCACCTTCATTCATGCCTTTAATATGACTGCCACAAATGAACAGCAAAGACAAATGATAGGAACTTCTAAATACTTGATGAAGCCTCACCCTGAGCACTGGCAGCGTCTGAGCATTTTGAACCTTTTACCCTGGCTTCCTGTGGCAGTAAAATATCCTGAATTTGATCAGAATCAATACCATGGACAACAAGCAACAACTGAGGATCTTTTCTAAGACCTTGCATAAATATCTGGGTAAAGAGACCACAGCTACACCACTGAATTCCTCACAAGATGCAGTATCATGACAATAGGTTGGAGGAAACCACCTGGCAAGCCTTGAGAATAAAAATCCGTACAAGGGGCATGAGCGTTCTTTGGAAACTACGGTCAATCTTGTAATGATGGGAACTAAATTCAAAGGTCTATAAATAATTTTTTCCCTTCTCCAAGCAATTAGACTTTTTTACAGGATTTCCATTCAAGTGTCAAAGACAAGGAGGCACTATGTGAAGCAGAATGTGACAAATAATTAACCTCATAGGTAGATTACATTTAGGAAAAATTATCAACCAGTGTTGGGCAAAGAAATGTAAATCTATAAATGTGTATAAGGTGAATCACTTATGCTCAAACTGACACCATAGCAAAAGGCTGACCCACCATAGAGATCTATGTCATACAGCACACATCATTTTGTGAAATACAGCACTGAGATGACATGTTGATAAACATTGCTCTTTTATGATACACAAAGGGTGAACATCCATGCTCTGAGCAGTTTGACAGTGTAGCTCACTGAGTGTTGATAATTCATCAAAGACACCAGGCAGAAGACTGTAAGACGTTTCAGCTTTTTCTCTCAGACAGTGCCCAACGGGTTGCAGCGGGCACTTGTCACACGAGCTGTCTCCTGTGTGCAAACACAGGGCTTGGTCCTTTACTCTCTCCTGTACAGCATGAATAAAATATCACAGAGAGACTGCAAAGTGAAATGTATTTCTGTGACAGTGGTGTCCAGATTACACCCTCAAAAAGAAATGCTTGTTCTACACAGGGCTTAACCAATCTACGCAATTTACTGCCACAAGCTATTTTTGTGGCTTACAGTTTAGCAGATTTCAAAGCAGGAAAACACTTTTACAGACATAATAAGAACACCTGCATTTACATTAAGTCAGATAAAAGGAAAACACTGGATGGATATTAATACATAGAGAAAGGGTAAGTTTTTCTTTGTCTGGACAACACCCAGCATAAAGTGAACTTATTTCTGCTACACAGGAAAAATGGATAAAAAAGTAAAGGCTAATCTATCAGGTATAGGCCAGCTTTAACTGTTCAGTGTTAGAGAAAATATACAAGCACATTATTATTTCACAATTATATAAACATTTCTTGCACCTTCTTGTTACAGAAACATCTGATATGAGCTACTGTCAGGGAGAGGATATCAGAACACTAATGGCATGGGTCATTATTGTATCAGTTTTGGTGTTTCTTCTTCATAACACATCTAGGACTTTTTTGATTATGACAGAAATATCAAAATCACACAAAATACCACAATGCCACAATATATACAAGTAAAACTAAAAAAGAACTAAAATCTAAATTCCTACATCCACTCCAACAAAAAATAAACAAGAAGTGGGAACTACAGGCTTTTTCCCCATACTAAAATATTTCGTAATTTTGTGTTAGTAGCCAATCCCCTTTATAATTAAGCCTCTCCCAAAGAGTTTGGGTTTTTTCCACCAGAAAATCACAGAGTTGAGGTGGAATTAATTTTGCGATTTTGTCCATCTTTCTTTCATGTAACTTCCCTTTTTCAACCCTCCACTCTATGACAGATGAGACTGGTCCTTTAAGACTTAGTTCTTCAGATGAAACACTCTAGACCTGAGCAGGAAAATCTGAGCTAGGAAGTGTGCAGGTGAAATGTAGCACCACTCAGGTTTGACATCTCACGTCCTGACTCTCATTTGTCTCCTACTGTTCTTCCTGGTTCAGAACTGAGAGGTCTTCTAGAGTTCACATGAACAAAATGGATCAAGCTCCATACACCATGTGTGCAGGAGTTCCCAGCAGAATAAGCATCTGTTCTCAGCATTTTTTTATTAAAACTGAAAATACTAACAACCATGACAAGCATAGCAGAATTTGTGAAACAGAAGCAAGTGACCCATACACATGTGAACAAGCTAATATTCAGCCCTGTGGTGACCTTGCATTAGTGTTGTGGTTTGTTCTTCTTCCTATTACTCTTCACTCTGTTTCCAGATCCCCATTTCCTGTCATAGCTACTTGTTCAGCTACTTTGTTTGCACACAGGAGACAGCTCGTGTGACAAGTGCCCGCTGCAACCCGTTGGGCACTGTCTGAGAGAAAAAGCTGAAACATCTTACAGTCTTCTGCCTGGTGACAGCCTCTTGTTTCTCACCACTGCACTGCTCAGTATGTCTTTGATCTACACTTCTCTTGGGCAACACACACAGCGTGCATTTTGTACTTAGTCCTCCCTGTTGTTTCAATTTACATTATGAAAGCAGCCATAAACTACTTTATGCACCTTGGGTATGCTTGACAAACACAAAATTCCAAGGGCTTGCCTGGTGCAAGTGTTCTTCCCCTGGTTAGGAATCACCTACGAGATTCATATCTACAGAGTTCAGTGAGTGTAAAATCTCCACCATCCCTTGGCATGGTGGCCCATGGAGGCTGTGACAGGGCTTGACCAGTCGTTCCTCAAATTTCCATCTTTTCCAGGGTTTTGCATTCTGCGCAACACAGAGTTGAGGAGGCCAAAGAGAGTATGGGAGTGAGAACATGAATTTGAATTTTTTCTTGCATTTAACAAAAAGGAGTGCTTGAAAGCTGAGACATGAGCCAGAGCTCAGGGAGACCTTATCACTTTCCACCGTGACCTGAAAGGAGGGTGTAGCCAGGTGGGGAGCAGCCTCTTCTGCCAGGCAATCAGCAACAAGAGGACACAGTCTCAAGCTGTACCAGGGGAAGTTCAGTTTGGAAATTAGAAATAATTTCTTCACAGAAAAGGTGATTAGACATCGGAATGGGCTGCCCAGAGAGGTGGTGGAGACACTGCCCCTGCAGATGTTTAAGGAAGGGACTCAGCATGGCACTCAGTGCCATGGTCTAGTTGACATGGTGGTGATGCATCATAGGTGGGACTCGACGATCTCAAAGGTCTTTTCCAACCTAACCGATCCTGTGATTCTGTGAAGGCAATATTTGGTTGTCACACAGCCCACGGCTGCCCTCTCTCACATGTATCACAGATTGTCCCTGCCCAGCAGGCTTGGCCCCCACCTGCACTTGGAAAAGCAAACCTTGCTTTGATTTAAGTGGACACAACGTGAGGGTGAGCAGCTTTGGGCTGTGGAGGCTGAGGAGGGCTGAGGGAGGCAGTGGGAGGCTGAGGGAAGCAGTGGGAGGCTGAGGGAAGCTAAGGCAGGCTGAGCGAGGCTGAGGGAGGCAGTGGGAGGCTGAGGGAAGCAGTGGGAGGCTGAGTGAGGCTGAGGGAGCCAGTGGGAGGCAGTGGCAGGCTGAGGGAAGCTGAGGGAGCCAGTGGCAGGCTGAGACAGGCTGAGCGAGGCTGAGGAAGGCTGAAGGAGCCAGTGGCAGGCTGAGCAAGCTGAGGGAGGACGTGGGAGGCAGAGGGAAGCTGAGGGAGGCTGAGGAAGGCAGTGGCAGGCTGAGGGAGGCTGAGGGAGGCTGAAGGAGGCAGTGGCAGGCTGAGGGAGGCAGTGGCAGGCTGAGGGAAGCTCAGCGAGCCCCGCCAGCGGCCCCAGCGCGCGCCGCGACCCCGCGAGCACGGCGGGGGGCGCCAGCGAGCGGGCACAACACACACCCGCGCGGCCATGGCGGCGCTGATTGGCGGCGGCGGCGGCCCGCAGCCATGAGAGGCGGCATCAGATTGGTCCGCAGGTGCGGACCCGGGCGGGGCGGGGCAGCGGAGGGTACATAAGGAGGGAGCGGCGCTGGCGGCGCGCAGGCGGCGAGGGGCGCGGGACGGGCGCTGCCGGGGTCCGGGCGTGGGCGGCGGGCGAGGCGTGCGGGGCTCAGCCCGTGGCGACAGCGGCGGCCGCCGCTCCGCGTGTCCGTGGCGGCAGCAGCGGAACCGGCTGTCCCCAACCATGCTGTGCTATGTGACCAGGCCGGACGCGGTGGTGATGGAGGTGGAGGTAGAGGCGAAAGCCAACGGCGAGGACTGCCTCAACCAGGTGAGGGGCTTCTCCCCGCCGCCCGCCCGCCGGGCGCCAGCGCTCGGGGCGGGGGCTGTGGCGAGCGCAGCGGTGGCCACGGGGCAGCAGCGAGCGCTGGTGCCC